AAGGATTTTAATGTTAGTCGTTCTTCACCTTTTCATCGTATCTCACTAATAACAATGATATCCCAGTTGTTGAAGTTATTAGAGTTATATAATCTCTGATCTTTTCCTTGGAAAAGATATTTTGAAAAACTTCTTCTTCTTCTTCTTCAAGTTCCACTCCTATCGGAGATTGGAAATCATTCTGGCAATTATAATTTTATTGGTTACGCGCCTGAATAGTTCAATTGAACTGCATCCAAACCATTCACGGAGATTGCGTAGCCACGAGATTTTACGTCTTCCTACGCTTCTTCTACCTTTGATTTTACCCTGCATTATATTCCTTAGTAGTTCGAGGAAGCCCTACTGACCGAAAACTCTTGAAAAACTGACAATGATGATGTAGAATATACAGAACATGAGCTAGTGTAAGAGGCAGAAAATAAAGTGAATGAAATAACAAAGCTGTCAACGAAAGAAGAGGTTGAAAGGACAATCAAACTGCAGAAAAATAACAAGGTTCCTGGAAGTGATGGAATACTTGGCAGAATTGTTTAAGTTGGGAGGAAGGGAAACAACGAAAGGTCATATAAAGAATATGAAGATAAGAGAAAATGCCAAAATAGTGGAATAAGAATATCATCTGCCCAATTCATATGTAGGAAGATAAGCTCCTCTGTCAAAACTATAGGGGAATCTCCTTGCTGTGTTGTGGATGTAAAATATTTATCAGTAGGTATACTTAACCATAGACTACAACCCCTCGCAAATAAGATGATCGGAGATCAGACAGAATTTGGACAGGAAAGATCAACCATTGACCAACTATTTACGGTCAAGCAGTTCTTAAGCAAAGCCTGGGAACATGAAACATATATCTATAATAATTTCGTCAACTGTTGAACAGGCATATGACTCAATAAACAGGGCACGCTTATACAAAATATTAAGTGAATTTGAAATACCCTCTAAATTAGTTAGGCTCATCCGAATGACGATGTGGACACAGTGGCCTAGGTACAGATACAACATGAGATGACAGATCCATTTCAAATAACATAAAGATTAAAACAGGGTGATGGGCTGGCATGATGGTGATGGGCATTGTTTAATTTAGCACTGGAATACGTAGTAAGAAAAACATCAGAAAGTAGAAACAACACACTTATCAATACAACTGGCAGACTATGCATAAATATCATGAGCAGAACCAAAGCAACAGGTAAGAATACGTATACGGAACTTAAATCACATGCTAAACAAATAGGTCTGTGAATAAACGAAAAAGACTAAAATTCTAGGGTCGATCGGAGAGAGCAACACGACCCTAACTTATCTTTTTAGTAGTCAACATCACAAAGAACAACGTTGACGATGCAGAGCTTGGCATGCTATGAGCCCGATATTTAAATCAAGATAGTGAGCTATGGATGTGAAACTTGAGTGTTGACTTAAAAATCTGTAAACTGCATAGACATCTTTAAAAGAAAGGTATAACTGAGACGAATGAGACGAATACTACTACTACTTGTCGGTTTATAACGTTCTCCGCCGTTTTCCTACTTCAAATCGGCACTTAGTCCGGTTGTTCCATAGGTCTTCTTCTATGGCCCTCTCTCTCAGTTCTTTATTTATTCCTTCGCTCCAATTTTTTCTCGGTCTACCTAGTTTTCTCTTTCCTTCTGGTTGTCATTTTAATACTTCTTTTGATATTCGTTGTTCATCCATTCTTTGTATGTGTCCGAACCAGATAAGTTGTTTTGTTGTTAGGTTATCTGTGGTTGTTCGTTTGATTCCCATTATTTCTCTAATACGTTAGTTGGTAATCCTTTCTCTTCTAGATCTTCCTGCCGCTCTTCTCCAAAAATCCATTTCCGTCGCTTTCAGCGTTGCCAGTTTTCTTTCTTTCAATGGCCATACCTCACAGCTGTATAAAGTGATACTTGTTACTATAGTCTCATATATCCTCTTTTTATGTTCTTTGCTGATAGATTGGTCCCGTTAAATGCTGTTCAACATTGTGATGGCTTTTCTCCCTTACGCATTTCTCTCTATTATGGCTTTGTCTAATGTTCCATTTTGTGAAATAGTGATACCTAGATATTTGTAGTCACAGCAGTGCTTTATCGTGGTGTTATCGTCTAATATGAGATCTTTTTGTTCTACTCCAATGCACAGGTATTCGGTTTTCTTTTTATTTACTTCTAGACTCCATATATCATACTCTTCAATTAATTTTCATGCCATATAGTTTCAATCGTCTTAATCTTGAGCCAGTATTACTTGATCGTCTGCAAAGTTGAGCGTATGTACCATAGTGTTGGTGAACGGTATCCCCATTGTCCTGCATTTTAAATTTCCCTCTTTTTAAAGCACTTTCGAGGTATATTTTAAATAAAGTGGGGGACAGACAACATCCTTGCTTTAATCCTTTTGATGTTATAAATCCTGTTGTTATGTGTGTCCCTGCTTTTATTTTTGTTATTGGTTGGTTGTATAGCACTTTGACGGTTTTTATGAATTTTCTATTAATGTTCGTGCGTTCCATTGATTGCCACAGCATCTTCAGTGAAACGCTGTCGTAGGCTTTCCGTCGGTCGACAAACAACATATGAATCTCTTGATTCCATCTTGCCATCTTTTTTTCTATTATCTGGGCTAAGGAGAAAATGTGGTCAATAGTGGATCGTAGTTCTTCTGTTTGATAATCTATCCCGTTACAGCCATTCCTCGGTAATTTTCACAATTATTTTTATCACCCTTTTTATGTATAGTACTAAGGTATGATATCTTCAATTCCGTAGGGATTTCGCTTGTGTTTATGCATTCTTGAAATAGTTGTCGAATACATTCGTACAATTTGTTCGTTCCGTACTTCGTTCGTTTCCGTACGATTCTCCGGGTACATCCCCTTGTCCGGGTTCTTCTTCTTCTTCACGTGCCATCTCCGCTACGAAGGTTGGCTATCATCATGGCAATTTTGACCCTGGAGGCTGCCGCTCGGAACAATTGTATGGAAGTGCAAGCAAACCACTCCCTGAGGTTTCTCAACCATGACATTCTTCTCCTACCTATGCTGCGCCTACCTTCAATCTTTCCTTGCATAATTAGTTGCAACAGTTGATATTTATTACCACGTGTAATATGTCCCAGGTACTGTAGTTTCCTCATTTTAACACTCAATACGACCTCCTTTTGTTTGTTCATCCTGTCTAATACAACTTGGTTAGTTATCTTATCCTTCCAGGAGATTTTTAACATTCTTCGGTACGCCCACATCTCAAATGCCTCCAGCTTACCCATACATTGCTTATTTAGTGTCCACGCCTCAACCCCATATAACAGGACCGAGAAAACATAACATTTAAGCATTCGTATTTTCAGCTTTAGGCTTAGGTTACGGCTACACAGCATTTGTTTCATATTGTTAAATGCACTGCGGGCTTTCTCTATTCTTATTTCTCTGGTGTATTCGTTTGACTCGTTAATATTTGTTCCGAGGTAATTGTAATTTTGTACTCGTTCAATGAGATTCTGTCCTACATGTAAGTTGATATTATTGATACGTTTCTTTGTAATTATCATGAATTTGGTCTTCTTTGTATTCAGTGACAAACCAAATTCTTCACTTGCTTCTATCCTTCTTGCTTGTCCGGGTGCTTTATTCCTATTCAGCTGTTTACATACATTTTTAATTTCCTCTGTTTTTAATCTTATTGGCGAGCCGACTATTGAAATTCTATCTTGGTTTTGATTTATATGCTCCTGAAATTCGACTCTATTCTCTACCAAAAGTTCTTTGAAATATTCTTCCCAGTCTTCAGGTTTTATACTTTGTATTACTTCTTTATTCTTTTCTTTTCTCAATTTTTTTTATCAGTTTCCAGCTTTCTGTGCTTCTGGTTCCTCCTAGATAAGTATTTATTCGTTGGCAGTTTTTTTCCCCAAGACTCGTTCTTCTTAAAGATTTTCCTTCGTACTTCTGCTTGTTTTTCTTTATGTTTTAATTTGTCTTATAATGATCTGAAGCTTAAATATTGTTGGTATAGTTGTCTTTTACATTTTATTTCTTTCTCTATTTCGTTATCCCACCAGTATGGTTTGTTTACCGTGAGTTTTATGTAGTATCCCATTGCTTCAAATGCTGCTTCGTGTAAACAGTTTTTTATATGTTTATATAACTGGTCGATATTCATAGGGGCGGGAATTTGTAGCTTCTCATCCAATCTATTTTTGAATAAGTCTTGGGTACTTTCTTCATCTAGGCTTCTGTTGAATAGACGACTACTAAGCTATATAAATGAGAACAACAGGTGACGAATCAGGTACAATTATGAAATATAAAGTATATATTTATAAACAATCACCTTTATCTCAGTATGTCTGCCTACAGCGTCTTCAATGGACAGGCCATGTATATAGAAGGGAAAAAAAGAGGCGTCCCAAAACAATTGAATGCAAGAATGCAGGGGAAGAGACCTATTGGAAGACCGAGAAAGCGATGTGGGAATGATATGGATGAGAACGCCAGAAATTTCCTTTGTAGTCGATCGTAGAGGAGAATGGATGAAAAGGTTTGATGAGGGAGGCCAGGGCTCAAATTGGGCTGTAGGGGCATATGATGGATGGACGATCTTTTCCTTAACATGTTGCTACCAAAGATAACCGGGGACTGTGGAAATATAGGAGACTGAGAGCCTTACCTCTCTATGTATTTTGAAAACTTACTCGGAAATTTGGCCAATCACGTTGGCATATGCAGGTTGGTACGTGATAGGGATGTAGGAAAGAAAAAGGAGTTTTAGGTTTGGATAAGATAATACTAGGATTTGGACCCGATTTCCTCAAGTTACGGGGCAGTGGAAAGAAAAGAAGCTCGTGTGAGTAGAGGTACCAATTTCCTGAAATACGTCCATCTTCTATCGAAATCACAGATAATGCAATCTAAATTTAACCATTTCTTTAATTAGATAGCATGTTAGACATTGAAAAATTAAAAAAAAATTACTAAAAAATATTACGTTGACATTGTTTTTACGGTTCTTTGTCCTGTATTGGGGTCAACCGGCCATCCGTCAGGATCATACGTGACAGGGATATCCCTGTATTCCTTTTCTTGATATTTGTCAAGTGGTCTAGGCAAATCTATCAGAATGCCCAATCCATACTCGCCAATGTATCTTGAACAGCACAGACCTATTAAACCTTTCAACAGACCTGAAATTACATAAAAAAACTAGTTGTATATTCAGATATTTTGGATATATTAGGATTAGAAACGGTCATTTACGTGAAAAAACGACATGTTAATACTGTCCAACCATAAAATGTTTTAGTCGTCATGTGATTTATCCAGGACAGTGGCAACAAAAACTGCTATTAAAAATTTTCCAACGAAGTATATTTTACTCACCTAAAAATACAAGAATAAAGATGAGACCTAGAATTATAAAGAGTAAAAGGTACCATGGATTTTCCAATACATTTTCGCTACCAAAGGTATATCCTTTATTACAAAATCCGATTTTTTGTCTATATGGAAAATAGTAGAGATCTTCAGCTACCGCTCTAAATATTAATGATAATAGAAGCAACAAAAATTGTACTAAAAACATTTGACACTAAAAATGTCATTTATAAATCTTTTATTTTGCCCCACGAAGTTTTAATATAAAAATCTAGCAAATTTAATAAGTAATAAACAAAGTCTGTCTTATATCATGGACTGTTTATTTTTATTTGATTGTAGCTCCCATTATGCAATAAGTCACACTAGTAAAACGAGTATTAGTGTGAGAAGATAAATAATCAAAAAGAAGTAAAAGGTAAATTGTTAAATACAAATTTTTACTACAAACTGAAATAATTATGTCATGTATTGTAAACGTACCCTAATCTGTGCCCTAATGTTAAATGTCACTATCAGAAATCGAGAAATTTCAACAATTCAAGTGTCACTTATCGAATGCTTTTGTCATACTTACGGTCAGAATATAAGCATATGTAATTATTCTTTTCTGTATTTCATAAGTGTTTTATTTATTAAAAGACTACACTAATTATTACCACCCGCCGCAGTTAATGAACCTAAATGAAATTCAGATTGTTTGTTGTCTTCTGATTAATGGATATGGTGGACGATGGTCGAGTAGTGGAAACCACCTCCACGATAACGGAGGAAAATGTGACAGAAAACTGCAAATTGTAGCGTTATGATTGAAACAACACAGTTTTGGATGCGCCTTGGCTCACTTCTAATTAGATGGTCAATTCCTCCGAAATGCTCCTAAAGTTTGAGGAGAATGCTTTAAACTAGCAAGTCTAGATAAATTTAAAGGCCACTTTCTGCCCAAGAAGAATCTCATATATGAAAGGTTTAAGATTGTCAATGAAGTTAAAAAGATTGCCATTAGCTGCAAAGTAAGGAATTTGCAGGACGAGCTAACAAAAACAGTCCTTATCTGTAGTATAGAAGTTAATTCACACCAACAGTCTCAGGAATATCAGATCATAGTCAGAGACAGAAAATTTTTTCGAGAAAATTTTGGCTAAACAGTGAGTTTTTGGTGTACTTAGCGAACTGGAGGAGTTTTATTTGAATCAACAATGTAACCAATTTGCACACTCTTTGTCTGTTGCGAAAGTTCACCAACATATTCACTATGAAGCAAAGTTAACAACCAACCTATTCACAATGTGCCATCCCAGTGTTCTCCAGCAAGCTCTAATCAAACTACAGGTTCCTACTTAGAAGCTTTTTTACCAGAAAACTTTTCATTGAAACTATATAATACATTTTTTTTAGAATATAAAATTTTGAATCTTTTCATTTAATTTTTGTAACTCAAACTTACAGCAAGCTTTTCGTCTGGAGTTACTGCTCTTCTATAGTGAATGTCCATCTTCCTTGTTCGTTATGTCGTCTTTAATAAAGGCCCCCATACACATTAATGTATACTTGAACAGTATACATGTACAAGTTTATTGCATAAATATACTGGAATGTGTGTTGGGCACTACTTGCACAAGCGACATAGGACTTGCGGAAATTTTGGTTCTACATGTCAGACTTGCACAAGTCTAATTGAGCGTGTGTGTGTGAAAGAAGTGTACGTACAAATTTAAAACAGTTGAGTTTTGACAATTCGTGTAGATGGACGATATTGTTGTTTCCGCTAGACTGGTGCAATACGAGTGGTTATGACGAGTCACATGGGGTGTTATTTCCTATTTTAAAAAATTAAAATATTTTCCCTACATGTTCATCTGATTATTAAAATCGGTCTGCCAAGACACTTTTCCTTCACTGGCAAAGTATTTCATAAATTCGTTTAGTATATCTTTGGTTGATACTGGAACATTCCAAGGATTAATTCGTTGTAAAGCTTGTAAATTTGAATTTTGCGTTATTAATCCACTAGTGACTGTACCATCTTCTGTACTTCTGAGATCAAAACATTCATATAGAGCATAGACATATCCTAATTTTGACATCAACAAGTTATGTAATGAACAACTTGCCATCACTAACGACTTAATATATTTTACCTTCAAATTGATGGCTGTGTGAAAAATACGAAAATGGGCTGCTAGAATCCCAAATGTATTTTCGATAATACGACGAGCTCTACTTAATCTATAATTATAAAGTCTCTTCTCTATGCTGTTCAGATCGTCTGCTACAAACAGTATGGCAGATTTTTTCTCTATCCGATATCAGAAGGAGGCGGAATATTCAGCAGGTTCTTCTGTAACTTGTCAAAAAATACTGTGTTTTTGAGAACACCGCTATCAGAGACCCGTCCGCTCGTACCGAAATCACATAATAAAAACTTAGTGGGCGTGAGCTATAGCCAGTAGAACCATACAATGTGTCTTCTAATTGTAGAAATATGAACCGCTTCCTGTTGATGGTATGATCTGAACATATTTTCCGACCAAAGCACATAAGCAGTGAGGAAAATTCGACCTCGTTTCAAACTTATTCGCTATTAATTTCCAATCATCTATTGTTTGAGGAAAATAAAAAAAAATAAACGATGTTAATTATTTTTCAAGGATTAGTGAAGGAAGCAACGGAGCATTCAGTAGATAAAGATGAGCACCAAATGCCGAGGAAGTTTTAGAGGAATTTCAGTCAACCGAGACTCGGCTCTGTGAAATAACAAACTCTACGACTTCTACACCTCCTCCATTACAACCGGGATCGTCGACTCCAAAGAGTAGTATTATAGGGCGACCTACCATCAAACGAAAATCAGCAGAACAATGTATCAATGTCCTGAAATCATCAAAGAAGATTTCAAGAGACTTAAACTTTGAGATGTGCAAGAGAGCACACAACGATTAATCGCAGAGAAAATAATGAAGCATTTTTTGTGGCTGAAACTGGTCAATTCATCTTGGCCCACTGTATTAGTTCCTCTAGTTCCAGCAATGTTCAGTCAACATACATTTACATCAGTGCTACAAGCGAACCTGTGGAGTTCCTATCTCCGAATAGTGCGTCTCCATCGTCATCTACAGCTGAGACGATCATCTGTGAAGATGGTTCCACTGAGAATTTTAACACCTCCGTTGTTTCCTTTATATCTGTTTTTACTAATTTGTAGTTTTACTCAAATACATTTCTTTTACTACAGTTTTACTAATGTCAATTAATTGTTTTATTTTTTACCTTTAAATAATGTTTCAGCACTTGAGATAGTGCACGACATGTCTGAGGAATGATGTGGTCTAGTGCTCAGGGTGAGATTCCGGTTGAAAATTTTAGATTCTCTTAACTACTTCCTGTTACAAGAAATCATAAGGTTGCCGCTAGTCTTTCGTGAGGACGTATAGCTTCTCGCATAATAGTGTCTTCTTTTTGAATTAAAGAAGTTTCTTCGTCCATTCGTAAATAATTATGCCAATCACGTAGATACACTTTCAATTCATGAACAGATTCGTATGTGCACAGGTTTCTCTCTTCTTAGTCACCCCTTACACCAAACTGTACGTTTGTTTCGGTGTTTTTAAAAAAGTAGAACTGCTGCAGCAGCGGCCAACACGGTGTTTAAAGTTTAAACTGACGCACTTGTGCATGTATACTTGTACGTGTGTTGTCGACCCATATATTCAGCATACTTGTGCATGTATACTGTTCAACTATACATGAATATGTATGGGGGCTTAAAGACACAGCAAATTAAGGAAATGCAACATGTGAAAGTACTGTACGAATTTTGTCTCGTACACTAGTTGTGGGTATAATTTGGCGAAATTTCCCTCTTCTCTCCTGAACAAAAATATTTTTATTATACTCTCGATGAGGCCCCACTTCTTCTTCCAAAAGTAATTCTATTTTTTAGAGTGTTTTTCTCTTAGGCATATTCATCTTATTTACTTATAAAGTTGATCGACCTGAATGCTGAAATAGACTGACGGTGATCTGCCCGGACTATATGTGTGAATGGGTTGGTATTTGACGGGCATTGGATGGATGGACCGTGACTGTTAGTTTGAATCAATATTAAATAATTCATTCATCAAAGGCAAAGTTCTTTTAACTAGAAAGTTTATAGAAAAGTGTAACATTTTTCTGATAACTAAGGAGAGAAGTGTGTATAGAAGTGCTTCTTCTATATCGAGAATTGCACCCAGCATTACCTCTAGGTTTTCCAGAACGAATAAAAATGGTGCAGTGCAGTTTCTGTAAAAACTACTGCTCGATACGCATACTGTCCCTGATGTATTAGACTTACAACCAATACCATCCCTAATCAGTGTTCTCAACCCTGGAGAGTATGAATATTGTGCCAATGCCATAAAATTATAGTATATGAGAAAAAAATAATCGTCAAATTTAATTTTATCGCATTAAATAATGGATAATGGTTATTCATTGTTTATATGAACCTATTGAATTGAAAGTTCAATTTAAAATCAATAGATTATTGTAAATATGATTACTGAATCGTATTGGTTTAGATAAAGGCACGTGTAAAATTAGAATTTTAAATGTCTATAATATATGTCAAATGAAGATGCAGATCCAGAAAGTAAAGACGATTTCTACAACAAGATAAATGAAATACTCTCTGAAATTAAAGAAAACTGTGAAATCTTTATACTAGCAGATTTAAACGGCAGAGTTGTGAGAGAGGAAAATAATAAAGTCGTAGGAAGATACGGGGAACAAATAACCAATGACAACGGAATGCGTCTTAGAGATTTTTGTGAAACAATGTCTCTCAAAATTATGAATGGATTTTTTCAACATAGAAACATATACAAATTTACATGGATACAACCTACTAGGAATCTGCACTCGATAATCGACTATGTAATCCAACGTCAAACTTCCCAGCTGAAAACAACTGACGTAAGGGTATACCGTGTATACCGTTTACTTATAGCCAACGTGATAGTTAACTATCGCAAAAACAATAACACTCAGGTACAGAATATAGAAAAGGGACAAGAAGTAACATCACCTAAATATAACCTAGAAAGCTTCAAAGAAGTTCACAAGGAATCTACGTTCCTGTAGTTGGCATGTATTAAAAAATTTAATTAAAAATCCTTTGTAAAAGGTATATATTTAAGGCCCAAACGGGCTAAGTTAAAAGACATAACGTTTCGGAATCCATGTTCCATCATCAGTGTTTAGGAGTACATGAATGTAGCCACCAAGATTAAATGTGGGTAAAAACCCGTTAACAGATGTTTAATTACATTTAATTTTAAAAATACGTTATAATAATTTAAGATGATAGAGTTACCGATGGATTAGGTAACATGGCGACATATGACTCCACGTTGAAGTTGCTAGTCCTGAGACGGTATGTCTTCGAGGACTGTATGAGTGCAACTTAGTTGCACTACTACAACTAAGTTGCACTCATACAGTCCTCGAAGACATACCGTCTCAGGACTAGCAACTTCAACGTGGAGTCATATATCGCCATGTTACCTAATCCATCGGTAACTCTATCATCTTAAATTATTATAACGTATTTTTAAAACTAAATGTAATTAAACATCTGTTAACGGGTTTTTACCCACATATTTAATCTTGGTGGCTACATTCATGTACTCCGACACTGATGATGGAACATGGATTCCGAAAACGTTATGTCTTTTTAACTTAGCCCGTTTGGGCCTTAAATATATACCTTTTACAAAGAATTTTTAATTAAATTCTTCAAAGAAGATTCAACGAGATTTCTTTACAAATTACGAGTGGCCACAAAACTACAAAATGTAGACCGAGAAAATATATCAGCGGAAGAATTATACCAGCAACTTAAACAATGCATTCATGAGGCTGCAAGTGAAGCTTTGGGTTATAAAGACAAACATGAAGCAAAAAATCAAGAATGGTGGTCGGAGAATATGCAAACGTTAGTCAACAAGAAGAAAACTGCTTATCAGAAATGGATATCAACGAGAAAGGACGAAGATTACAAGATATATCAAAAATTAAATCGAGATGTAAAAAGAGAAGTAGTGAAAAGTAAAAATAAGATGTGGGATCGAAGATGTGCAGAGGTGGATAGGTATATGGGTGGAACAAGAGTTACAGTTACTAGATCTGAAAAAGTGGAAACACCATTATGAGGTCTTACTGATAGAGCAGAGATGTAAATTCCAAGAGATCGAAATGGAAGAAATATCCGAACACACACAAATAATTGAGATAACAACCGGAGAGTTAAACGATGCCCTCAAAAGATCGAAAAACGGTAAAGCAGCAGGACCTGGAAACATCCCAACTGAGTTGGTAAAGTATGCACCAAAAGTATTACATAAGATATTGGTTCAACTATTTAACAACTGCTTAAAAGGATAAAATATCCCTGACGATTGGAATATTGGATACATCAGTGTTCAGAAATGTAAAATAATGAGAATTATTTAAATTTGCCGCGCATTTGTAGACGGGGCCTTAGCTGTATTGGCGGTTGACACTTCATGTCTTGCCGAAAAAGAGAGGAGTCGCCACCCGCCAGCCGAGAGGGAGAGTCGGTCGAAAAAATAGGTTAACAGATGGCATGTCGATATAGTCGATATTATTTTGTTATAAGAGTTTGGATAATAAATTTGGTATCTGTGCACATATCCTTTAATTTTTACTAGAGATACAGTCCACTAGCGAAGTTAAACCAGTGCACCAGTTACAAGGGCGAACAGAATCATTCAAGAAAACAAGAATGGTCTAACCTACGCCAACATAAAACAATCAGCTCGATATTCAAGAATGGGGATAAACGCAAATGCGGGGGAATAACTGTTATCAGCTCAGTGGGAAGGTTGTACGGTTGAATAATAAAAGAAAGAATAGAATTAGAATACGAAGACATAGAAGAACAAAATGGATTTCGTGCAGGAAGATCGTGCACTGATGATTCGTTCTGCGGCAGGTAATCGAAAAACGGAAGACAAGGTACCTATTTACCCACCTATTGTTTGTAGATTTAGAGAAGGCATACGATACGGTACCTTTGAAAAAACTGTTTCAAACATTGACGAAAGTAGGTCTCAGTAGGGAGTATGTGAATGCTATCGCAAATATATACAAAAATGCAAGAAGTGTCGTTAAAGAAGGAAACTTTATATCTGAATCATTTCCAATAACAAAAGGGCTTAAACAAGGATGATGTCTATCTCCGACCTTATTTAAAATATATATTCAATCATCGCTAGAGCAGTGGAGGAAACACGTATCCGGAATGGGAATAGACATAGGCGGTGGTAAATGCCCAACTATATTTTGCGCAGATGATCAGGTAGTCGTAGCGAATGATGAGGAAGACATGGACTACATGTTTAGAAAACTAAAGAAAGAATATGAAAAATGGGGCCTCAATATGAATATGTCAAAGACAGAATATCTTAAAATAGGGGATGATGAAGAAGATCCAGATTTAGAAATTAGAAACAAAACATGCAATGAATATAAATATCTCGGATCTATAATATCTAAAGAAGGCACTACCAAAAGAGACATCGAAAACAGAACGCAGCAGGAAAAAAAGCGGTTAACATTCTAAACTCTCTACTATGATCTAAAGATATTAGACAAGAAACAAAATTGACAATCTATCGAACCTTGGTAGAGCCTATTATGACTTATGGGGCAGAAGTTTGGCAGATCACGAAAAAAGATAGAAAAAGAATAGAAGTAGTAGAAATGAATTTTCTAAGGAGAGTGTGTGGTGTATCCAAAAAAGATCAAATCAGGAATGAAGAAGGACAAATACTGTATATTCTAGTGTAGACACAATTGAAACGAGACAACTAGTGCGGTATGGTCACGTGAAGCGAATGAATGAAGATAGATGGCCAAAGAAAGCTTTTAATTACATACCGCAACAAAGAAGAAGGGGAAGGCCTTCAGTTGCCTGGGAAGAAAATGTACGACACATAATATAAGTATCAAATTCAAACAGTTTTTTACCGGTACATAAGTAATATAAACATAAACACAGAAAACCAAGTATACAGTTCACATCACAATCGAGGTTTATATAGTTATCGTGAATGCTGAATATAGTACAACATTTTGGAGGATAACATATAGAGGATGAACCACTCTTACAAACGAAATCTGACACTGTAACTGTCGAATTTCACAATTTCAGCGACGTCATTATTTCATTATTTTTTTTGGATGGAATTATTTTATTAGAAATTAATTTCATCGTAAAAATATGGTTTATGAAATTATAGTAGATCTATTGTAAATGCATGATAATACAGAGTAAAAATGAGTGTAGTTATAGTATGCCTACTATAATTATATGATTGCTAACACTGTCCCTAATGTATATATCGTGCAGTTTCTCAAAACTTTGAGTACGAATTCCATTATACTTATCGGCCTCAACATTTTCCTATATGGTTTGAGTATAAAACCACCCATGAGCCTTTGGGTATAAGTCATAGTTCTGCTATTCTAGTCCTAAGCTAGCTTGTAGTATCATATGTATTTTATGTACTGGCCACTTTCCTTCTGTAGAACTCTTTGAAAAATCCCGTCCAAAGATTTACATTGTTCAAATGAGTTTATTGTCCATTTGATTTTGTCCTGTTCAGCACTTCTTTTGCCACAGTTTTCCCCATAACCACAAGTTATGGCATCCATTTTGCTGCCATGTATCTAGTGGTATCAGTTTTAAACTCAAAAAAGTGTACCCTGAAAACTTCTTTCAGAGTCTCTTCACCATTTTGAGTGTATTGGTACCCGACTCATTTTGGAGTGAGAAACACTTATGTGAGGTTCCTTTTAGAGAACTTTATAGATATTTCTGCAGTACATTCTATCCCATCGCAATGCAATACTCACCTGATCTTTTAGCTAAATTAAATCTTGGTTCTTTGATTAGCAAGGTTGTCATTCCACCAAGGTACTTTCCTGTATGAATTTCTCACTATCTCCAGAAAATTGTCTTCAAATGCTGACGTGATAACATCTTGAAATTGTTCAGTGGCCATGTCTAGGCACAGTGTATTACTTTTCGCTTTTTAAACATTTTCGCCTTCTCATTATTTGAGTAAATAAATCAGTCCCCTCGGTAAAACAATAGATTCAGTAAGTTAATGTTTGTTACACGTATATAGGTAGAGTAAAACAACAGAAACTGATTGAAGTCTATTAAAAAAATAATAAATAACATAAATCTACAAATCGTAACAACTTTTAAACTCTAAGAATTTGAACAGCCACACGATTACAAATTGACCGGTTCTTGCCAGGTTCGATTTCTACTCTGGCGAATGTTCCGGCTTCTAGACCTTTCGTCAATCTCTCTGGATTGATTACCAAACAGTCGTTCACTTCCTGTAAATAAAAAATAAGTATACGTTATTAAAAATAAAATTAGGAAGCAAAACTTTAGACTGGACTGATACAGAGTTATTTAACCGCAAAGGAACTTCAAACGACCACTAAAAATTTCCATACACATAATATGATACTAAAAGAAATTTTCGGTCATCTTTCCACTTTGCTAGTTTTTTTCACTTTTACACATATTTTGTTCCAAAAAGTAAAGATAGATCTTTAAATCCAGCACATGGAATGGATATTTCCAAGATTAGCAGTCCCGTTGTCTTAAATTATAAATTACTGAAAAGTCTGCAATTTATCCCTAATTATCAATATTTGGCTTAATTTTCACTACAGCATCTACGTTTAGACAAAATTGATTATGCTACAGTATTGTCAAACTGTATCATGTATAAGTTTTTGTTAAAATTAGACTGACAAACTATAAAATATAATTTCAGCACTACATAATCTATTGATGCACTTACCTTGACAAAATTCTTCAAGTTTGACGGTAATATCAAAATGTGTGGTTTAACGCTCAAGGTTCCAAATTGTTGCAACAAAATTTGATCAACGTTTAGTTCTTTATGCGCAGGACATAGAGGGTATATTTGCTTTTGATTTAGAAGATGCGAAATCATCCTTTCCATTCTGCCCGACTTTATCACAGATTCCTTGTCGCTAAAATGTACACAAAAAATAAATTATGTAAAATTTACTTTAATAAAAGTAGGAGTAAGTGAAGTAAGGCATCTACAGATCAAGAAATTAAATATCTTAAATTGTGTGGTAGTGAGAAAATAACTCTTTCTTGCTTCAAGGAACGTGCTGAATAACATGCTGGGAAAATAAGTCAACCTGTTTCAACACTTTGCATAAAAGAAGAAGATTAACAAATTATTAGGAGTAGTTCATACTTTTTAATAGTTTAGTGGCCATTGAAAATTGGACGGTCGATAAACTTCAAACTGCGAGACAGAATAGCACAAAAACCTAGTAATATACTGAGCGACGAAACGTTTCAAATTATGTAGTACTTGGCATATGACCCCCGTAATGTGATGACTGATTATTTAGATTTTTATATATATTTTAAAGATTTTTTTTTCTTCTTTTATGAGCGTGGAGTGGTCCAGATGTTCGAAACACCTCGGTCCTAGAAGGTGGGCAGAACCGCCTACCTGCTAAAAAAAAACCCCCTCAGCGGTGAATTACCGGCCGGATCGCCCTGATTGGGACGCAACATCGGCATGGCATTCACCCGATCTCTCATTCACGCACAATTCTCACGCATTCTAGAACTTTCTCACTACGATTGAATTCTTCTCTCCCTCTATTCCTCCTTATTCATGTTCAATCTCACCCCTTCTCATTCTTACTTATCTTCTTGCTTGCTCCTGGACACCCTGTGTCTCTTCGGGTCGCCTTTCTTCTTGTTCCCTTCTCTCGAATGTTCCCCTCACATATCTCTGAACTGCTCTCCACCGATCTGACGACCTAAGCATCTCCTCCACCAGTTCCTTGAGTGATTGCACCCTACTTCCTAGCTCTCTCTCAAGCAGGCTCCTCTCACCTATCCATATATCGCATACCAATAGTGTGTGAAGCAGTATCCGATATTTCACAATACAGGCATTTGTCATTTTCTGCCTCTCCAAATCTGCCCTGAAGCAACCATGTCCTGTGAGCATCTGCGCCAGGAAGTAATCCAAACGCTGGTGCCCCCAATCCATTTATCTTCTCAGATTAGGAATCAACGACTTTGTCCACTGCGCCACACATCTCATTTCGTCCCATTCCTCTTGCCACATCATTATGGAACTCTCCCTTTGTCTTTTTTTAAACGTTTTGTTGCTATGTCTTCATTTTTTCTCTCGTATATTCTTCCTCTTTCCTTTACTAGCACGTGCATCGGAATACATCCGGTGATAACTCCCAACACTTCGGCAAAGATGGTTCTGTATGCACACGCCACCCTCAATAAACTCTTCCTATCTATTCGGGTGAGCTGCTTATCGTACGCCTTTGTTAAGACTGCAGTACTCTAGATAGGCGCAGCGTAGAGGACGGTCGATTGCACATCAGAATAAAGGGCCCTCCTCCTCTTAGTTTTGGGTCCTAGGATGTTGGGCAGATCTCCCCAACGCGGCGGATCTTACCGCAGCTCTTTGAGTCACCGCTTTTACGTGCTCCCCCCACTTTCCCTATTGACTCAGAATTACCCCTAAATACCTCACACATTTCTTTGGAACCACTCTTCTGCACATTCGAATGTTATCTCGTCCCTTTTCCTTCCGCAAATGTGAAAGGGGTTACACCCTCTCCGTATTGTTGGCTCACAACCCCGTCATATGCCAAGTTCCACAGCGTGGGTCCTAGGACAAGTAGACCTGCGGCACTCCAGTCGTCACGTCAACCACTACTCCTTTTTCTACCACAATTTTCCTCTGACAAATAATCTGAGACCAAATTCATCAAGTACCTCGGACACCTCTCTCGTAGAGCCTTCATGACCTCTTTCCATTTTCATGTGTTGAAAGGATTCCGGACGTCAAGCAACATTAGGATTGCCCACCTTTGGTTAACCCCCACCCTGCGTAACTCCCGGAAGACTTCCATTAACGCATTCACCGTGCTCCTGATATTTCTGACACCGTACTGCCTGGGTGACAGCCCGCCTCACTCTTCAATCACTCTGTCTATTTGCTCGTTTAGGAGCCTCTCGTATAATTTACCTATGCACGACAGAAGGCAAACAGGTCGATACTTGTCTTCCCCCTTTTTGAGTAGCATGAGCCCCACTCCGCCGCTTTGGCGTCGAAATCCCCCAGCACTATACACTCTCTTCCCAATAATCTTACTATCTTTTCTCTATTCATTCTTTCCATACGGTCGAATAGCTTGGAATGGCTGCTGCCAGGAATTTAACAGCCATTGGTTGTTCTTCTTTCATTTGTTTCATCTTGTGAACAAATTTTTTTGATGTCATCTCTCTCCCATTTTCCTCTACTATACATGTTATTTTGAGAATAGTCCCAATTCCTCCGTTTTTATCTTTTTCCACGTATAATCCGGGTACCTTGCAATAAAATCCTCCTTCAGTCTTGCGTCAGCAGCATCCTCTGTTACCAAGATTGCCACATCGTCCGGTGCCTCCAAAATTCCTTTTTCGCAGTTGGTTACCATATCATAAACCTCCTCTGGACATAAACCTACCATTCTTGATCTAATACTTCACTTGTTTCCTCGGTGCTTTCTGCTCTCTCCATTTTCTTATGTAGTTCCTCCTCTTTCTTTGTAATTCTGGGTCCTCTTCCCAATTTACTTCTACCTGTGTCCCTACGCACCTCGTAGTTGTTGTTACAGTTATTTTTGTTTGCGTCCCTATTGTTGTTACGCATCTTCTTGTTATACCTTCCCTTTTCTCAATATCCTCTGTAGGATTATACATTAATTTTCTAATGTTTCTTACTATTTCGCACCAAATCTGCCAAACCATTGCGGCTCCCTGTTTGATCCCATTCTTCGTATTTGCCACCTCCTTTGTTAGGTTTACTAATTCGTCGATGCATCCCTTCATTTTTGACATTCCTTTCTGTTTCACTTCTTTTTAAAGTGATTTTACTTTCATTCTTATTTCCACCAGGTCCATGTTTTTCTTTGTGGGATTTCGTTTTTTTCTTTCTGTTAATGTTGGTCGTCCATTCACTCTCGTCATTACTATCCCTCGTTTCTTTTCCACTGCCATTCTCCTCCACTGTTTCACCTATGTCCTCGTTTTCCCCTTCGTTATTCTCCTTCCGCTCGTCATTTTTCTTCCCACGAGTTGGGTCGATTCTTCGGTCCAGGCGCCCATACTCCGCCAAGGCTATAATCCTCTTCGATTCACCTCCTCCCTAGGTCATCGCTTGAGACTCACTTTTCCCTTCGGCATGATGGTGTTACACCTTGAGGTTAGGGTGGCGATATATTAGAATAATGCATAGCCGCCTGTTCTATGCATATCCATTTGTTCTCAGTGGTTTTTTCCACTGGTTTTTGTATTAATGCAGGTTTTCTCCCTGGGTCTAGGTTTGGGTATCAGGATTTGTATGATGGGTAAGGGTGGGTGTCGTATGATAGTTGAAAGTTTTTGTTATCACACAGGGACAGGTTAGGAATTTGGGTAGTGGACAGCTACTCTATTTAGTCGCCTTTTATGACAAGCAGGAGAATCCCTGAAGGTATTCTACTTGAGCTGCTCGTCTTCACACGGGTTTTTAAATATTAATTTAAAATATATTAGTAATAAAGTATAATAATGATTATCCAAGTCAAGATTATGCTGAGTTAGCCATAGTATGATTTTTTTTTATCAAGTTTAATGCGTCGACAACTAATGGTCATTGGCATGGTACAGTGAATTTTTACAGTCAGGTACCTAGTGTGGTGTGTGTGTAGGTGTAGAGTAATTGTCTTGATACTTAGCAAAGTCGACGTCATTGTCTTTGCTAAGAGACGCTAATTGTATCCGAACGTCTGCGGTCCCTCCGGTGAGTACCGATCGCACAAGGATAGAAATTATTTTCATTTATTAATTTTTAATAAACGAAAATTTCTCCACCCAGGTGAGATTCGAACTCACGACCTTTACACCTTTCAAAGGTAGGCGCTCTTACCACTGAGCCACAGAGGTGGTTCATAGTGTGATTTGAATAATCCAAAATCCAAAAATTGAAAAAAATTCAAAAATTTTCTAAAAAATGGTCTACTTTTCAGGGTCAATAAACTGTGGTAAATATTACAGGTTTCAACATATCTTGTTGTTGGTTGTATGTTGGTTTCTTGGAATTCAAAACCTGTATATGTTATTGGTTATAACGCCGTTATGTTCTAAATATACTTAAAAAATACTTACAAATGTAATTCATAATTGCTCATATGGAACAACACATCGACTGTAGTTGCAGCAATCACCAACCCATCAACGTCGATGACCGCTGGATCCGGAACAAACAACAATTTACTATATTTTTCTCTAATTTTATATGGTGGTGTCGGATAAATCGGGTGATGGTGGACGTCCTTCGAACTGGACACCACAACCACTTGAGTGTCTTTGTGCTGTATGGAACTCATCAGTACGTCTATGACTTCTGCAAAGAAGGAATCGAACGTTTGAGTCAGACTGCCGTTTAGGACGCTGTCGTGGGTCTTTTCCAAAAAGGGACCAGTGAGTACCACCATGTGGGGCTCGTGTTCCGTGATGTACTTGATGAGTTCGTTTAATGGTTCGTACGAAAGATTTTCCTTGAACGTGAACGGTCCCGCAGCTATTACTATCTGCATAGTACCTATAAGGAAACATAGTATTTAATAGGAACTACATTTTTTAAATATATTTTAAATATATTGGACAATAAATGTATTGGACATTGGAATGAGATGCGTAAACAAAGAACAGCAACCATGCTATAAGTGAGCGAGATGATAGAAACGCATGAACACTCTGCGAAAAAGTTTTAGTTTTTCAAATAAAATAAAGAAAATTCGGTTAGACGTTAGACTTTATAGATTTTTAATTACAACTTTTGATACAAAGTAAAATACATTTAACAATTTTTTTATATCAATAATTATGTATTGAAAGGATGAAGAAATATTTATGAATGTAATAAATAAACAATCTTAATTATATTTAAAAAGTATACAGTGTTTGATGAGTGTAGATTTGTAAGTAAAAAAAATCAATAAATATGAACTAAATAAAAAATTCATTAAAAATTGACAAAAAATCAGGTATATTTCAAAGTTTTTGTAAATTAGGAAAATTTTTCATTTTGGTGGCTTAAAATATTTCTTTACAAACGATTTCTATGAATAAATGTCATCGAATTCACTATTTTCACTTTCAGAACTAATAAAATCATCATCTGAATCATCATTTTCAATATTGATATACTCTAGCAAACAAAAAATGAAATTAGTCATTCAAAATCACGCGTCGTAACTGGTCGAAAACAAGTGTCAATAATGAATGCTCGGAACTTTCGAATTCGATCTTTGTCGGCATGTAATAGATGTTTCGTTACTGGTCACTTCACATTATAGCAATAGAATATTATATTTATTTATTACTTATAATAATGAAAGTAACACATTAGATCTAGTTTATAAAATAAGTTTTCATGAATCATATTGTTACAAATACAATCCTCCCCGGAATTGACCCTACGTATTCGGCAGAAACAGAACGAAAGGCAATTAATCAATGTCTCGACATTATGTCGAAATGTGTGACAGCAATCAACATCAACAATCAACAGCTGAATTAGCATAAAAATCAACGATTGCTGTAACTACGCAACGAAGCAAATACTCTCCTTTTACAAAGTAAACGTTTAACTGCATGGTATGCAACAGGAATGATAACACAGCTCAACAAAATGAAAAAAACATATTGGTGCTTGAGAAATATATAAATATTTTTCATGCTCTGATTTAAAAATGTCTGCTTTTTTTGGAATGTCTAGTTTTTTTGGAATCAATTGTATAATTTTAACTTCGATCAAAAAATATACACAAAGGCAAAACCCAAAAAAACGAAATATATGATGAAATCATAAATGAAAAGTGGAAAGAGTACAGAAATACCATGAAAGTAGCAGCTGAAGAATTACTAGGCATGAAAGACAAACAAAGAAGAACAATAAAGAAGAACTGGTTTGACAAAAAATGTCAGATTATAACAGAAAGAAAAAATAGAACATATTTACTAATGCAACAGCGGCACAGAACCTGAGAAGCAGAGGAGGAATATAAATTAATAATAAAAGAAAATATGAACAAAGAACTAAGGAAGCCGACAGAGACAAGAAAGAAGATGGAATTCCTGAATGCGACCGAAAATGTTTTAGATTATATGGATATATTAGATGTTCATTTGAAGTAATTCATTAAATATAATTCATAGGTTAAATAAAAAATACATTCTCCGCTACTGAGACGCTTCTTGGAAAAACTCATAGAGATAGCTAAATGATATGATAAACTTAAGTGATCACGCGTATGACTCATTTCATTTGTTATTTGCTGGAGTATCATACTTTGATATATTGCTGTCTCAGCTGTGTTTGTAATATGCCTCAACTCAGCAGATGTAAGTAGCGACCATAGCCTAGTATTAAGTAAAATAAGAATCATCCTGAAATATTTCCCACCCAAGAGAACGGCGCCAACACAACAAAAATCAAAGTCGAAGGACTAAATACGGAATCCACGGAATACGTATACAGGAAAAAAATATCAGAGAAGATCGCTGGAAATGAAATTAGAAAACGATAATATCGAGGAAAGCCGGGAAAAACTTAAAAATAACATAATTAACGCAGCAACAGAATCACTTGGGAGAGAGGACAGTAACGAACACTTAACATATTAAAATAGAAAACACCATGGCTTAGAAAGGAAGTGAAGACAAAATGTAAAGAAAAGAAAAAGCCTTATTACAATACAGAACACAACAAACACAATAGGCATACAACCACTATAAACGAATCATAAATGAAACGAATACGTTAGACAAATTAATAAAAGAGGAACACTGGCAGTTTCTCAAAACAGATGGAACACGACTTCTACGGAACACAAAAAGAAATATGGAGAATGATCAGAGGATAAAGAAAAGAGATGAACGAACTAATAAAAACGAAACACATTCAGAAGGAAATATGGATAGACTTTCGATGCCTATTTGCTAAAGGTGATGATAATGAGACAAAATTTGCTAAGGCAAAATTTATGGTTGTCAGCAAAACGGAGTTACAACCAACGAACATCAGAGCGTATGGAATAGAGTTAGAAAGAGTCCACAATATTACCTACTTGGGTGCAAAACGTTAACTAACGATAACTGGGATATAAATAAAGAAATAAGAATACGCATTGAAAAAGCCAGAGCCGCCTTCTATAAATTAAAGAAAATTCTAATTAATAGATATTACGTTAAATCTTAAAATCAGATTAATATGCTGCTACATATTCTCCACATTGCTGTATGGTATGGAGAGCTGGACCCTTACAGAGACATTAATGAAAAAATTAGAGGCCTTTGAGATGTGGATTTATCGACGAGTATTGCGGATAAGTTGGGTTGATCGAATAAGAAATGAAATAGTTTTACATCGAATGACAAAGAGCACAGAAATAACAAAAACGATAAAAATTCGGAAGTTACAATATTTCGGTCATGTAATGAGACATCCAGAGAGGTATAACCTTCTACACCTCATAATAGAGGGTAAGATCGACGGAAGGAGAGGCCCAGGCCGACGAAGAACATCCTGGCTACGAGGTCTCCGAGAATGGTATCAAGAAACCACCTTTAATTAGTTTAGAACCGCCGTGAATAAGGTTATTATTGCCAATATGATCGCCGACGTTCGATAATCGGACAGAGCACTGAAAGAAGAAAAGAAGAAGATGATAATGAACCACCAACACCAGAGGTGACGACAAACGAAGAAATTAATATTGAGGAGGAAGAGGCAAAGGAAACATTAATGAAAAATTAAAAAATAGAAAATCACCAGGAAAGGAGAGAATACCGAACTGACCAAACAACTATTAAAACTAATCCAAAAAATAATAACAAAACAGAATTCCTCCAGAATTGAAATCAAGCATCCTAATACCTCTCTTCAAAAAGGGAGATACATTGGACCCCGAAAATTACAGAGTAATTAATTTATTAAACACAATTAAATTAAAATTAACAACCAAAGTGATTAAATGAATGAAATTATAATATTAGCAGAACAACAAGGTTTCAGGTCGGTAAGATCATGCACCGACGATATATTTATAATGAGGCAAGTGCAAGAGAAATCATTATAATAGAACAAATCGGCATATCTTTGTTTCGTAAATCTTACGCAGTGGCGCACCTAGGGAGGGGATTTTGGGGGTCAACCCCCCCCCCAGGATCCTATTCCGACACTGTTATTTACAAATTTTAAGGACTTAAAATGGTGGAGGTAGCATAAAAAAATTTCGGTGCCCAACCCAAACCCCCTCCAGAGGACAATTCCAGGTGCGCTACTGACCTTACGAAGGTATTTGATCGGGTCAAATTAAAAGACGTTATCCACTTACTGTACGTCAGAGAGATACCTCTGGAAATAATCAAAGCGATCGAAAATATCTACCCAAACAACACAATAAAAGTAAAAATAGAAGAAAAGCTAACCTACCCTATTGAAGCTGGTAACGGGATAAGACAGGTAGATTCCTTGAGTCCTCTATTGTTCAACCTGATTATGGATGAAATAATAAAAAAAAGTAAGAACTAAAAAAGGATACCAAATGGGCGAAAAACAACTTAAAATAATCTGCTATGCAGACGACGCAATACTACTCTCTTAAAGTGATGATGATTTACAACGTATGCTGCACCAATTTAATATAACCGCCAGAAAATTTAATATGTTAATTTCCCAAAAAAGGACAAAATACATGATTACAACAGCAAATTTACTAAGATGTAAATTGGAGCTGGAAGGTCAGATAATACAGCAAGTGATGGGGTTTAATTAAATATCTAGGCATTACATTATCGAGCTACGGAAAACTCGAAACTGAAGTGGAAGATCAAGTGAATAGAGCAAACAGAGCCGCAGGCTGCCTAAATGAAACAATATGGAGAAATAAAAATATCGGGAAAGAAACGAAAGGCAGAATTTACAAAACATTCATCAGGCCAATAATGACATACGCGGCAGAAACAAGACCTGATATAGAGAGGACAAAAAGGATGTTAGAAACAGCAGAGATGAAAAATTGACGGTAAAACAGTATGGGAAAGAGCTAGCAAGGTGGAGAACATCAAGAGTTGGGTAAGAAATAGAAGAGTAGAATGGAACGATCATAATATGCCGAATGACAACAAAGAGAGTAATAAAGACGACAAGAGACGGTTCCCCAATAGGAAGACGATCAGTAGGAAGACCACGAAAACGATGGAATTACAACTTACTGGAGGCACATTGAAAAACAGACAGAATTATGGCGATATAAAAATAAGAAGAAGAAGAAGCTGTCTCTATTGTTGGTTCCAAATTAAGAAGTACTTTTTCAAATTTGATTACATGTTGGCAGCTATTATATCACTCTATTGGTGAAGAATTTATTGACAATGTTTAACATTTAATAATAAAAAAGTGGTGTTCTTACTTCCAAACATGTTGTTTAAGCAACACCCAGACAAGCTGAATTGGAGTAAGATCCGGATGATAAGGGGGTGTCTAAGTATTGTGACTGTGTTGTTCTAGGATTCTATCAATTTCATGTTTTAAAC